GCTCTTCACTCAGTGTCTGCGTTCCCTTTTTGAAGATAGGAACAACTGTCGATGTACTCCATTCTGCAGGTACCTTTTCGTTCTATATAGGACCAATAAGCTTTGTCAGATAGGTCACCATGGATTTACCGCCTTCTTTGAAGAGGGCTGGATGCAGACCGTCTGGTCCTGGTGCCTTCTCAGGTTTCAATACGTATATTTCCTGCTCTGTTTCTTCGGACTTGCGACCAATGTTTACATCCATTCGCCAGTATGCACTGTCTCCACAGGTTGTGTTGCAGGAGGCCAGGTGAACTGTTCTTCAAAGTGTTCAGTCCATCTTTACAGTCGACGTTCTTGCGAGTGAATTAGAGTCATTTCTTAATTTACCGTTTCATTCGATCGTATCAGTTGATATAGAGCACGGCTGTTCCCCGTAGCAAAAGCCTTTTCTGTCTCCCAAGCTTTCGATGTCCACCAGAGCTCTCGGTCTTTCTTTCTTTCGACTCTTTACTATTTGGCGTTTGAGGGATTGAGATGCGCCGTCATACTCGCTGCCTGCTGGTATGGATTTTCTGGTACCAATCATGGATAGCGATCTTAACGATATCCATTGGTCTTGTAGTCGAATTGGAGAAGTCGGACAAACAGCACTGAACGCCGCTGACATAGCTCCTTTCACAATTTTTCCTCGCTTCATTCACATACGCACTGCCAGTACAGTACTGGTTTACTGTGGAGAGTTGTTGGCCAAGCTCATATTGATACTGCTGAGCTATGGTAGTTCTTCAAAGACAGTGGATTGGCATGCTTCTTGCTGACTTGCGAGGGCCTGAAGGAAAGTGTCAGGCTTGCACGGCAGTAAAGCATCGGTGTTGAACACATGTCATGCTTTCGATGATGATGATGCTTGCACGCACCATGGCGTGGTCGGAATCCATTGGTGTGCTCCAGAAGGAACGGCATTCTTGAAATGCGGCTCTTCACCGGTCGCTGATGGCCACGTAGTTTAAGTTAATCCATTGGTTTGCATTTGGTGACCGCGAAGTTACGCGATGCGAAAGTTAAAAGTTCGCACCGGTCAGAAACAGTTGATGGTCAGCATATAATTGGAGGAGTTCATCTCCGTTGTCTGTTCGACGAGTATGGACTCCGAATCGACCACCCAAGTGTGATTCCAAGTAGCTCAGACGAGCAACTTGAGCATTGATATCGCCCGCAAGTATTGTAATGTCAGTGCTTCTTGCCTGGCGACTAAGCTCAGATAATTCTCGGTAGTATCCTTCTCAGCATCAGCACTGCAGTCCGTTGGAGCATAAGCCAACACTACAAACTAGCACCGCTTTTCTATGCCGAGATTCATTGAGCTGATTAAGCTGGTTAACCGGAAGGCGCAAAGACTACTGTTAATTGCGATCCAATCCAGCGAAGCACGTGGAGCTGTTGAACTGAGTGCAACTCCCACGGCGATGAGTCTGACCCGTTCGACTGTAGGGGGTTGGCCTACCCTGAGGGCACAGGAAGTAGGGCATTACTCTCTCACTCTTTATTCGGCTGAGCACAGCAAGCCCGTTTTGAGGAGCACCGGGTTCTTCGGTTTTGACCGTACTGAACAGTGCGCTGGCGGTCACGATAAACGTTGGGCGATCGGAGTGTGCGGTTCTTAGGGTCGACCTTTGCTAACCCGTCCTTTCTCGGAGCAAGGCAGCATTGCTACTTCTATGATTGTGGACATGCTGGTCACCTTGGGAAACACTTTGCTGCCTTCACACTCATAGCAGAGGACAGTACGACTTTATTCCCCAAACCGCCCCGTAGCACGATTACTCGTGGTACGGGGTCCCTCCGCTCTTGGTCTGATTTTTTCCCTTTGGTCTTTCTGGCATGGTTGCACTTTGTGGAACGAAGTTCCAGCCAGTGTAGCCCGCGGGATCATTGTAGCACTCAAGCTCGACTCCCATGTGAAGGCGGCAGGTATAGGTCAGCAGTGTCTAGCGGTCAAAGGTGTTCGTCCCAAATTTGTATCCCTTAGGGCACTGTATGCGAACCCCCCCCTCTGTGGGCTCGTGCAAGTATACGGAGGCTTTCGCCTGAGTTCACCGCATCCAGTGGTGTAAGACAAGATTGCTTTTTCTCGTCTTTCCGCTTCACCTTTGTTATTGATGTGCTGCCTACCTCTCAAACCTCAAGGGTCGAAATGTTCCCTTACAAACATTGGGTATGTGAGCGATATTGTCCTTGGTTCAGGTCCTTCGAAAATGCAAACCATTTAAAATAATCTAAATAACTTTGCCACACAGTTTTTCATGCGCTTTACACCTGAGCAACCTTGAAGTAGCCCAACCCTCGTGTTTCCTTCGGATGGCAAGGCAGTTTGCCACGTTACTGACGCGCTGACGCCATCCACAACCAGCCACGCTTCTGAGGCATCGGTGGTCGAAAACCTAAAGACGCCTCACATCATCTGTCCGCAGAGGCCATGTCTCACACCCATACAACAACACAGCCCTTACTGTAGCCTGGTACACAC